AAGGGAAGCCCTTTGTCAACCGCACCGGTCTAGACTGCCGCGCTGTGCCGGATCAGCTGATTGTTGGCACAGCGCAGCAGCCTTTTTTATTTTAATGAAGAGAGGATTATTTAAATCCCCGCTTCGTTGACTATGTCGGGTAGCCTAATCTACATGCCTCTGTCGGCAGAGGCATGTAGTCTAGACATACCCTAAGGGTGAGCAATGAGTTTGGTCTTTGTCCATACAGTCCCTGGCCTTTGTATTGAGACTATCAAATAGTGCCCACAGTGGCAGTATCCTTTGTCCACAGAGAAATAGACTGGACATGTCTAGACTACAGAGAAGATTGATGTTGCGGTCTAGTAAAGACCTGCTAAATCAAATGCTGAGGGTGCCCCCGTTGATACCGGAACTCCTACTCCTTGCAAGTACGGGAAGTTGATGGGAGCATTTCTCCCATCAACCTTCCACTGTGAGGACGGTGCAGAAGCTCAGCTTAAGGTATTTTGACTCAGCTATGTTTTTTACATTGCTGAAATTGCATACCTTAAATCGACCTTCGGCTGTAGTGTAGACCTGATGCCCAAACTCACTTGACGTCACCACACAACCACTAGAGGGAAGCCATTTTCATTTGCTGACTCCTAAAACCCACAATAAAATATGCAGACCTTTCCAGGGTCCAGTTACCTGATAGTTAGATTTTCACTTCTCTATAGACTTTTTTTGGCAAATGGTCTTAATTTCCTCCTCTCTCTTTTTTTTTTTAAGCATTGAAATTGTCCTCATGGCTGTAAGCACCAAATACCAAGCAGAGTGTTTTGTTGTCTGAATTCCACATATAGCTGGGTTTCTCCTTAACTTAGTTCCACCTACTAGCTTTTCTACACCGAAAAAGAAGCAGCGGGATGATGGGATGCGGGAGCATGTTACAGGTTGTGCCCGAAGCGAAGGCTATTACAAAATTGATAAGAAGGACAAACTTAAATACCTCAACACTAGTCGTGCATTTGCAGAGGAGCCTCCAGCTGATACACAAGTAAGCACACTCATATTGCTGACTGCTTCCTTGTGTTAACTGGGTTTGTCTTGAAATGTAGTGTTAATTCCATCTCATAGGAGAGTTACTAAGCCTGTGCCTCAGTATGGTGTTCCCCTGTTGCAAGTATTACCTTTCAATTAAGAAAGAAAACAGATCCTTTTGATTTAAGATCATTAAAGGTCCTGAGTTATTTTCTGTAAGTGTGGGGGTGTTTTCTCCCTGTGTCCTGGCCAAATTCCAATCTGGGGAAATGCATTCTGCCTACTTAAATGTCCCTGTTGGTACAACTGTAAGTGGTGGCCTTCATCTCCTCTCATAAACAAAAGGTTTGCTCTATTGTTGCTGGTGTTTTCACAATGGCTGCTGCATTGAATTTTACAATAGCTATTGCACTAGGGGTATTTCCATGGTGGTCAAAGTGAAGTGACCTTTATGTAAATGTATAGTTTGTCATTCTGGAAATAGTTTGAGGACTGAGGAACCTGTTTTTCTGTATAGATTTAAAATACCTTGGTATATGGCAGCCCCAATAAAGTATTATATTGCAGGGCAAGGAGGTGTGATAGTGATTATCGCAGGGCTGGGGAACCTTGTTTGGCTTGGGGGCCGCTGACCCACAGAAAAATCAGTTGGGAGACGCACACAAGTGAGAAGCAAAAAAAAAAAAAAAACCTCACTGCAATGGCCCCCGACTGAGAAGGAGAAAACACCAGCCTAGTGGGGCCCAGCCTAGTAGTGCTCTAGCCCTATGGGGGGCTGGAGTGCCAGCGTGAGCTACCCAGTGCTGGGGGGGGCTGGGGCTGAGCCTCAGGGGACAGATCCAGGCAAGCAGGGGGCCGCATCTGGCCCCTGGGCCTTAGGTTCCCCTCCCCTGGATTAGAGGAACAGAAAGACTTGTATGTGAAGAGAGACTGAAGACTCATAGATTTAAGATCACAAGGAACCATCGCAATCCACTAGTCTGACCTTCTGCACATTATAGGCCACAGAACCTCACCTACCCGCTCCTATAACAGAACCATAACCTCAGAAGTGGGACTGTATAGTTGGAGAGGGGACGTGATGTAGGTAATCAAATTAACCAGAGAAGGCAAATCAAGTGCTCCTGTTTACCTTTTGTCATGATATAAGAACAAGGGGACATTCGGTAAAATTAAAAGGCATTGAATCTAAAACTAATTAAATGTTCCTTTTCAACAAAGCATAACTAACCTATTGAAGTAATTTCCAGGAGGAGTCAAGAAAGGATTAGACCATATATGGATAATGAGAATCTTCACAATCGTATCAGATAGGATTTTTAAAAAGGCTATAAGACCTCATTCTGCAAGAGATGAGACAACTCCTGACTGACTAGGATTTGGAAGAAACTTACCTCTAAGATCATGTTAATCAGTATGTGTCCACTATGAGGATTTTGCACTTTCCTCTCAAGCATCTGGTAACGGCCTCTGTCAGAGACCAAATACTGAGCTATGTGGACCACTCATTTTGTGATAGAGTTGGAAGAAGAACCCAAGAGTCCAGATTTTCTGAAACCCAGCTTACTTAGTAGACCACGCTGTAGATGTACTATAGGGAGTTTTTCACAAGCCACAGCAGACTGTATTAACTAATACAAGAGTTTCTACACTGTTTGTTTTCTGTTCTCATTCTGCAATAAGATGTGTACTGGCTGTGTGGGAATGTGCATCAGACTCCTCACTGGCTCAACTTTGGTCTCTAGGAAATGTACAAATGGATCGCCTCAGATCTTTTTAAATTGCAACTCCTGAACTGTTCTTCCTTGTTTGCAGGGAATGAGCATCCCTGCTCAACCTCATGCTTCCACCCGGGCTGGCTCTGAGAGGAGGTCAGAGCAACGCAGGCTTCTCTCATCCTTTACTGGTAGCTGTGACAGTGACCTACTCAAATTTAACCAACTCAAGGTAGGTAACGTGATCAGATTTGTATTCTGTGAATTGGAAAGCACAGGTCAGGTGCTAACTAGTGTGGCAAGTTTGGGCTAAGCCCCTGTGTCCTACACTTCCTGGCAGGTTTTTTTGTGTGCCTCAGAGGCTTGCAGTGTCCCTATCACTGCCGCAAAGGTACCCCACTACCCAGAGCCCTTTTCATCATCGGCCAGTCCATGGTTTTGGATGTCAGTCCCTCTGTTAGTCCACAGGGTCTCCCCTGTTCCTTACTGGCAGCCCCCCAAGAGGCTTGCTGTCCCTATCACTGCCGCAAAGGTACCCCACTACCCAGAGCCCTTTTCATCATCGGCCAGTCCATGGTTTTTGATGTCAGTCCCTCTGTTAGTCCACAGGGTCTCCCCTGTTCCTTACTGGCAGCCCACCAGCCAGGAGGAGGGTTGGGGGGATCCCGGTTCCACCCACTTGCTCCAGGT